ACTACGTTCGTAGAAACTCGTTCCTCAAGTGGTTTGTGCACGATACACCGCCGCTGTCTTCCGCATCGTGTCGAAATGCCTGCGAACGTGTGGTAATACGAAGACAATGTCTAAACCAACCAGAACGCAAAGGACATGAATAGTAACTTACCGGAAAAATTATTGTCTTATGCTGCTGGCGCGTGCGGGCGATTAGAGCGTTCAAAACCGCCCGAAAGACCGCATAATAGGAAGCGCATTGCACATGCTGTCCTTACTATTCCCCGCTTGTTTATAATACCTCGCCCGTATGATTACGACTTTCCAGTCTTATATTGCCGTATTTCTCCCGTATTATGCCTTTGTTGACTATGTATTAGGAATTCTCCGCGTGTTTCATACAGTATACTAAGAATACGTGGTCGATTCAGACGTGATACAGGGATACAGGTAGTGTACATACCAATATACCCGTTGAAGTCGCATGGATATCACGAATACACAACAGGAAAAAACTGGTCGCGTTTCTGGAGTGATCTGAAACGAGCCATCGATGGAGAGGATATCGATGTCACAAAGATGCAAGGCTCAGAAAGAGTCTGAATATGCGTACCATGCATGGTATGCCGTACGTTTTTACTTGTGTCTGTAAGCGGTACTTGTACATTAACGCACGGGAACGGCAGTAATAGTAATTTTTTGAATTCACTACTTCAAAATCAATAAAAAACGCTTCTGTCGATGAGTTTGCTACTGCCAGATGCCAGTCTTAGCTCGCGCGTACCAAGCCAGTGAAGAACAAGGTTACGTACACTGGTTCTTGCGGATCCAGCTATCCCTACCTGATGCGCGCTGTCAAAGCACACATTTATTACACCATGATCCGGGCTCAGATCAGCATCAGCACCAGGAGCTCTCCTGACGCTCACGCGAACTATGCTTGGTGGTCGATCGCAACACCTTCCGGATATCTTGCCGGTAGTAGCCGACTTTCGCTTTGAACGATTTTCCGGTACACTAAACTACGTCTATTAAAATGATAAATTCACCCCTCTCAACATTTAAGATAATATCATAAAGGAGAAAAGTTGACATTTCATAATTTATATCGATATTTTATAATTGATATCGATATTTGGCGAGCATCAGTAATGCCAGGTGATATGTAAAGCGTCAATAATAATTGTAGCGCACGGTAGTATAGAGTTTGGCGTGACCCTTGAATTTGTAATTGACGCTGTTGTAAAGCGACAGAAATTACAGGACAGGCTTGTGTAACTTTACTGGTGTCGTTTAGCGGTATGTGAACGTACGGCAACGGCGTTAGCTGATTTTATTTATTGCCGAAAAATTATTACAAAAAACTTTTATCGAAGAACGTGGTACTTCCGGAGACAAAGTCTGTTCGCACTTACCACGCGAGGTCGCAGCGCCTCTTGCTCTTGCGGATACTCCCACGCTTACCTGGCGCTACGCTGCTCGACATTTCTCCCGTCGCTCTCGCAACACGCAATTGCTTAGTCCGTTGTTTCATTTGCGCTGCTATTTCCGTTGCAGATAAAGACGTACAGTATTCCACTGCAGATATAGATAATTTCCGCTGTAGCAACGGCTATTCCATGCTATAATCAGCGCCAGCGTCAGGATGTTCTTCTAGCGCTGCCGCAAATTATGGTTTGGTGCCCGATGCAGTCGACTATCCTTAACGAACAACATCGGTATGCAAAGGTCAAGAAAAATTCATGTGATGATATCAGAATCAACGGTAAATCCTGAAGTACCGAAAATCCGAGTCGTTATTCGAATATCCTAATGCATAAATAAATATCGTCATGAATAGTTCTCGCGTCCGTTGGTGCAACCATAAAATAAGTAATCAATGTTGAGAGAGAAAATCCCGCAAAAAATTATTTCCTGCCGTTCACTTCATTTGAGCATACAGATATGAAAATTTAATAATGATCGTGTATCGATCTTTTGAAATCACCGCGTTTTATACTGTGTGCAATTTTTACGAAGACATAAATAATGCCTTTATTAGCGTAGTGACACGGAGAAGCTGCTCATATTCAGTTGAAATAGTGTTATTCTATTTCTCACACAAAGAAGTGCAAAAGTTAATCGGCCTTCAACAGTGTTGCAAATCTCGACGGAGGGCAATATCGGCTTCGGCGAAATAGTAGCCGCTTTCTTATCACTACTGAGAATCATTCTGAGAAGAAAATTTGATCTATTTATCACCGGAAATCTGTATCAAGGCCACTGCGCAGTGGAAGTATTACTGCACAGTGCACTGCGAGTGGACAAAAACTTAGTATGAGGCATGGAATTTGTACAAGAGAGCAAAATAGGTACCTGTATGCTTTACCATTATAAAATAGGTACCTGTATGCTTACTAACATTCCATGAGTAATGTACGCCTTTTTCATGTACTTAGCTGGTACAGTACATGTTTGCTTCTTCCGTTTGAGCTTACTAATTGGTTGTTGGCACACGCCGTATTATGACGTCGGCGGTGTTTTCTGTTTCTGAACTTTCCCATGTTAAAGCAGAGAAATGGTTATTGTTTTGGATAGAGAAAGTCAGTCTAGGCAAAAGTGTTGTGTGAACTTGCAATTGCTAATAAGAACTTGTGTTATGAGAGCTCTCGTGTCTTCTGTAGCGAAAACATTAGTGCGTGTACCTACCGGAAGTCACAATTTATCTGGATAACTACATCATCCAGATCTTATTCGTGCACGTAGTTGGATAGCTGGTGAAGTGTTTTACTAGTTATCGGAGGATTAGGCATAAGAGATAGTTCATAGTGTTTATTTCCCACTTTATCTACTAAGTTTGGATGGTCATCAAGTACATTAGATGTAGTGCATCTTCCGTATAGCATGTCAGTACTATATATAAATACGCTCGTATCGAGCAAAACAGGTAAGTGCATGAAAACCAAAGCGTATACCATGAATCATGATCATATGTATATAAAAGAATCTTCTACCCTTTTATAAATAACTATCTGGTGGGTGCCACGAGATTGGCAAAATTTAAAACAATTTACGCTAAGGTTCAAGTTGACTCCGCTCGTAGTTGATTTTGACAGTACCGGGAAACTCACGTTTGCACACTATTCGCCCTAGCCACGGTGTTCTCGTGTACTTACGGGCATGCGCGGTTGTCCGCGCCTTAGCTACTCATCATGGTAGCGCCCGTACTGCTACCAAATACTTTACTGTTGCTACATCTATGTGGAGATTGGAAGTTTAATGAGTCTAGACTGGTCTCTCATACACAGATGCAGCAGCCTTTATAGCTAGCTTGCAGATAATATTAGAACATCAATATGACTAACGTGTAACGTCAGAACATAAAGTAGCTAGCACCATATACGGAGCATGCAAGATGATACAACATGCTAAGAATAAACGTATGTTGGATGATATCTAACAATCATGTCCAGTCTGTATGTTGCGCAAACCGGGGTTTCCGCACCCGGACAATTGGGAGTGTGACATTTCGCCGCACTCAAACTCGACGCGCGACTTCTCGCCGCGAAGACATTTCGCCGCCGGACATTCGGACGCTGGGGCACTTCGGTTTGGGACAGTATGCTTTGAGACATTTTACCTTTCCGACATTTCGACGCAAGATGTCTGGTCGCGGACAATTCGTCTTGGGACTTTTCGAACGATGCGACAAGTCGTCGCAAAATAATTCACCGCGCTTAATTCTCACTAGTTTTTCGGTTTTTTTAGGCCTGTTCTTAGTTTTTCTTAAGTTTTATTCTTAGAATTTCTTAGTCTTTCCAAGACTTTCTTAGGTTTCTTTGGTTTCTTTGGCTCTTTGGTTTCTCAGCTTTCTTAGGTTTCTTAGGTTTCTTAGGTTTCTTAGGTTTCTTAGATTTCTTAGGTTACTTAGGTTTCTTAGGATTCTAAGTTTTATAAGGTTTCTTAGGTCTCTAAGTTTTGTAAGGTTTCTCAGGTTTCTTAGGTTTTTTAAGTTTCTTTGGTTTTTTAGGTTTTTTAATTTTCTGAGGTTTCTTAGATTTCTTAGGGTTCTTTTGGTTTTGCTTTTAGTGTTAATTTTTTGGCTTTTTCATTTAGCTTAGTAAATCGTTTATCTAATAGGGTAAATGTCGCTTCGTCGAGATGTCCTTGCGGCAAAATTTCTTTGCGTCGAAGCGGCCATGCTACGGAAAGTCTCGCGGCGTAAAGTCCTGCCAACGAAATGTCCTGCGACGAAACGTCACGTGGCGAGATGACCTTGCGGTGAAATGTCTGCGACCAAAAGTCCTCCGACCAGTTGTCGGCGGCGAAATGTCGCGGTGCCGGGGTTTCTGAGTGGTCAATTGCAGAAAAGAAAATTAGCCGCACCGTTGGTGTGGTATTTAATGATGTGATCAGCTGTGGTGATGCTCGACAGCTTTCGCGAACGGTGCAGTGGTAGCCCCGGTACACACAACGCTACTGCTTTAATGGCTACTAAGTATAATAAGTACTGCTATAAGTATTATAATTAACGAAAACGACAGTTATACGATTAATGCTTGTGCTGCTCAGAAATAGTGTTGATAACTCGACGATGCTAACAAAAGAAATTCTGGTAATAACCTAATACATGCTCCAAACTACCGCTGCCCGCACTTAAGCAAACAACGGGATACATTATACAGTAATATGACGCTCCAAACGTCCAGGGCACGGATATGCGGTTTATGTATGTATCCATGAAATACATATCCCAGCACTGTACGCTCTAACCGGAATCACTGCCGCTTGACATCCTTGTAATCTGCATTGAACTGCGTACCAAAAAGGCTTAATAACCGAATTATGTCTTCTGAAAGAAGACACCTTGTGGAGAATGTCCTAAACATTCCCCGGAATGCGTTATCTTTAATTTTGCTTGTTATTTGCAGTGTCCAGTACTCGTACACTGTACACTAAAGCGAAAATTCCCGATAAACTGTACACAGTCGAAGTTCATATGACATCATCATCTCTGTACTATCAATCTATCGGTCGATGTCGTAACGCTTTACACTTGCATACGGAGCGCGGAAATCAAAACACTATACACCAGAGAGAGTACAAAATTAATGTTGCAACAAGTAATTGATTCAGAGAGAAGATAAGCGTTTGTTTCTTGACCACATGTACAAATCTTGAAAAGTTCAGTGTGACAGCAACGGCCACCTTTTTATATGCAGGCATCAACTTCCATTACCACGTGTTTCGGCAGAAAGCCAGCATTTTCTTATCCCCTTTCCAAACATGGAATTCCAAAAAAAATTGTCAGTCCCGAATTTAAATAATGAATTTCAATCTGTTACAGGTTAAAAGAATTTCCACATTTTTTTTACATTTCCACATTTTTTACATTACGCAACGAGCAAATTACTTGCTGCATGCGCTACCACAATATTCGCATTAGAAGCAAACTAAAGAAAAGCGCGCTAAAAAGCACATATTTTCCGCAAAAAAGGTAATGTAACTGCCAAACAAGGAGCGGTCGGTTAGGCAATATAAAAAATGGCGGTTACTTTGATTGTGCCGCTTCCGGCGTTAACCGGAATGGGCGGTGGCTTGCGGCGTGTCCACATTGCACAGCGAGCGCACTTCTTGACGATGCAGTAGCCCACGAGCTAGGCCCAGCACGCCGACAAGCACAAACGGCACCCTGCAAAAATGACACTTTGTTAATTAGATACCTATTTGGTATAATTAATTCTCAGAATATTCGTGATTTCTTAACAGTTTTCTGGTATTTACAGTAATTGTTTTATTTCGGTGTCACTATTTTATCTGTATATAAGTATTTATATGTTTATGTTATATCGAAATATTCGGTTATATTAACATCTATATGTTTGCAGTTATTTAGTACTGAGTCTATCTGTACTGACTGAGTATAACGCAAAGGGAAATTCAGCGTAATTTAGAAGACTTACAAGCCAACCAGGAGCGGCCGATAATCGATGCCGCCATTTCCGCTAGTCTCCGATCCGGCGGCTGCCAAGACGACATGGATGATCATGTTAAGCTGCGTGAATAGAAACACCACCTGCAATGGCACAACCGCAACATCAGCGTCCGTATATATGCCCTTTATATCTGAAGCTGTTTCGATGATGATTACTTATGGACCTCTGTTAAGGATTTTCTGCTAGAATATAAGTGTCTGCGATCTTGAAATATTCCTCTGTATTTATTTTCTCCCGTTTTCTCCCATGAATAACAGCTATTATTTGTCGGGACATCCTATGTTTCCCCAAATGGTGGGTTTATAGGATTAGGATATAATGCGGTATAAATAGGACTATTTATAAGAATGCTGTTGTCTGGATGAATCGTTCGTAACTGGTCGATAACAATAAGTGGGAGCAGCGGGCGAACTATGTCCTACCCGGTCAGGCTATCTGCACCCTGTGTTATGGCATAACAAGACAAAGTCAACCGAAACTGCCAGAAGCATCAACCACAGTTCACAAACAGCAACATCTGACTCAGCGCGTGGCTGCAGCAATAATCAAAGAATTTGTCTAATAAAAAGTAGTCGTTGGTTAAATATTGCAAATCGATACTGTGGAAGTGGTAATGCTGAACGGTCAAGCGCTGACCGTAAAACAGCATGTGACGTACCTGGGAGTTGAAGTCGACCATCAGCTGAAATGGGATAAGCAGTTCCAGAAAGTGAAACGAAACATTAATTTCGGTATCCAGAAGATCAAGCGAGTCAGAACCGGTCTCAGCATCCCTCAGCGAGCCACCCTTCACCACGCCTTCGTCGAGCCGTACATAGATTACTGTGCACTGGCTTGGTCCACGGCGTCTTCGGGAGAGCAGAAGGAGCTGAAGAAACGGCAAGACGCGGCCTTGCGGACCATCACCGGCGGCAGTTGTCGGATAACACCGCAACTGTACGAGCAGCTGGGCATCACACCAGCGACCGACCGATGGCGGCAAAGGAAGCGGTATGGCTGTACAAGATACGTAACCGGAGCAGTTTTAATGTGCCGTCTTACATGACCAACCTGCTGCCATTCAAGGAAACGAGTGCGAGGTACGAGCTTCGCCGTACAGAGCGGATCGATGCCACCACGCGGCTGTGCATCGGGAAGACAACCCTGAAGATGAGGCTGAAACAGTTGTATGATAAAATAACGGGAAAAATGTTTACTAAAATTGTTGATGGTAAGACTAAAAAACTACGTGGGGAAGAGGTGTTCGGTTGTGGTTCTATTGAACTTTACCTGGCTACTTTACGTTCAAATAATCTGCTGTAGTATTATGTGACCTCGACTGTTCTACCATCTGAATGTTGTTATGTATTTGTTATTTTTTCTATTATTATCTGACCAGACTAGCGAGTGCCTCAGGGTTTGTCTGCTCTTGAATAAACTAAAACTAAACTAAGTGCTTTCGCGCTTCGATCTAGCCTTAATTGCTTCACTGTATGATACCTATGTATTTTTTTCGCTTATTCGTAACGCACAATTTTGTTTTTATTTTCTTAGGTTACTTCTTTGTTTTGTTCGAATTTGTTTGATTCGAATTGTTTATTCGGACAATGAGCAGTTTAATGTTACAGTAATTTACGGTATTGGGAAACTATCAGACTGCCGGAGACGAACGTTCAATAAAGAGCCTGCCGATGACATACAGATAAGAGGCGTCAATGAAGTACTCGTACGGTAGTTTTCTCGTATCGACAACTCTGAGCAGTAGTAAGTCTCAACCTTGATGACCTTGATACAGCGCTACCGGCTTGGCCACAGCGCAGCATGGCTTAATTTACACGCGGAACAAGACTGACCCTGCAGTTTGGCTTTTTTATCATTTATAACTCTTTGGCAATTTCGCGTGGCACGAACTGATTTCTCTGGAATTCTTGTTGCTGCTTTAGGTTCCGAAACAATTTTTCTATTACCGCTTGCACAAACTGAACGCTTGAGTTCCCACAATTTTTAATTACATAAATAAATACAAATATAAAACTATTATTATGTATTTATGAAACTATGCGTGATAAAAGCTTGAAACGTTAAATACCGCAGTTGCCGGAAACTCTACAACCGAAGATAACCAAACGCCACGCAGATAATTTGCACGAAACACAAGAAAATAACTGTTTGTACAACTTTGAAAGAAATTAAAACATTTATGTGCGACGGACTGGTAGCCGCTTCATCACTGAGCTTTTTCCTTTTCTCTACTTAATAAATCGAATAATATTCGAATTGTTTTGCTGATCTGCGGTGCTGAAAATTGGAAAAAATAGTACCACTGCGTAAACACTGTTTTATACCGACAATTTTGCAGCACGCAAAATTAACTTGCTCTCCTAAGTTGGGTATACAGTATTTAAACTGGATGCATAAATTCAGTTGGGTTAGATTCAAACGGCGGGGTCCGAAAAAATATGCGACTATGCAAAAACCATGCAATAAAGAACATTTTTGCGACAGGAATACAATGTCACGCACGTACCTCTAAATGGCGCATGTACGGCGGAGATCGGGCCAGTCCGGCTGGCGATGCGCAGGACGGACGGTGTGTGTGGCCGCAACGGCCACCGGGAGCTTGACCAAGAAACGGAAGGACGGCAAGGACCCTACATAAACCACGCACAGGCTATTGAACTAAGACGCTGTCTGCTGTAGTGTACAACGAACCCCAAGTAACAACACTGACTAATAAACAAGCAACAGTTTGTTATGTGCGCCCACACGGTGTGTTGCCAGTCCGTTTGATGGATGCTGTGTGCGGCGGGACGACCACACTACCTCCTACCGACCAATCGGAAACAGCAAGTTAACCTGCAACTGCCGTGATGCCTAATGGCCACGCCCCGGCCCGCCGAACTTTGGTCAGCGCACGACACGATGCGTCAGCCAGATTGCATTATTCTCGACGCATCTACTCGATCCCAGCCGAAAAGGAAAACAACGCTAAAGTTATTACAAAATGTAACAGACCTTACTGACCTCAAAGATACAGACTTGTCCATATAAAACCGAAGGAATCCCGATATGCAACTGCTGATTAATGCTTCTAATAAAATTTAAAACAATGTTTTAAATTTTATTTAAAACAATGTTTCCGATAAAATTTAATTGAATAGGTCGATATTAAACTGCGGCCCAAAGTACGAGTAAGAAAAGAGTGCATGCGTGGTGACACTACATGAGCCGCATTTATTATTTAAAAATTTAAAAAAAGGCAACATTCCTATTTACATTTGCTACAGCTAAGGATACGCAGCTTAATACTACCACAGCAGGTTTTCTCTGGCAACCTGCAGAGCACAACGCTGCGGAAGCTCATCGGACGCGACACCCTATTTTCCGAATTTTCCGACCAAAAAAATCGGTTGATATTTATTATTAATAATAATTATGGCGAAATGCAGCTGGTGTAAGATTAACAATTTTTCGCTTGCCTCTGACTCAGAACGACAACGATAAAATCTCTGGTTGCTCCAGATATCTCTGCAGCTCTAATAGAAAAACTTGCCGGTGCCTCGATTCTCCCAGGTCGTGTTTGTATCAGCGGCGGCCAACATCACGCGTATCGTGAGCAACGCTGAGTCAGCTCCATTAAGCGTCGGTAATAGCGTTCACCGCAGCATTCCATAGAAAACAGATTCCGATCAGCAGTGAATTCTTATCAGTCAGACTGCCGCCTAAAGATCTGCAAAATTAATGGTAGAAAGCATCGGTGGACGAAAATATCAGCCGGCACTTTTTCCTGGATGAGCTTACCACACAACCGACAGCGAAAGTGGGAATTAATTGCTGATGATATTTCAGTTTAACTGGCCATCAAAGCTCTGTAATTAGGCCGCAAATTTACTCGAACACCATTACAAAATCGTTCGGCGATAGATCCGAATGAGGACTGTTTTTAAAACAGGATCAACGTTCATACTGTTACTGTACATTATTATCGTTTATTTGTACGTATAATATTATTTTTACTTTTCGTTGATTACATTAATATTAAATTTTCGAATTAAATTGGTGCAGTAAAAGAACAATTATCAACAAGGCGAATGGACGCCGACAGAAGAAGACTCGCACGATCGTACGCATATTACTGTAGTGGCTCGCACATCTTGTACCACAGAGTTGGTGTACGGGAAAAATGTGCATCCAATATACACACTCTAACCGGGCAAAATGCACGCCTACGAAATAATGCGTGATTTGACTTCAAGATGAATTCTCCTTCTGAATCTGTCCAGAATCAAACATTTGCTTTAAAATTGTAATTCACCTTAGAAAAGAAGCTCTGTATCTGAGAACTCGAATTTTTCTGTAGCTGTAGAATGTTGACGCTGAACGTACCCCTCACTCTGCAGGGGCACCCCAAAAACCACAACAAATCAGTGTTTGAATTCGAGCTGACAGCAAAGATTTAAGTGAATGGCTGCTTTTGAGCATAAATTTAGTTAATAATTATTAGAGCTCTAATTTTTTTAATATTCAAGAAGGTTCTCCAGACCAGAAGTTGAGAAACATCAGAAATTTATCAATGCACGCCAACTGCGAATCGTGCGTTTTGCCCGGTTATAGTGTGTATATTGGGATGCACATTTTTCCCGTACACCAACTCTGTGGTACAAGATGTGCGAGCCACTACAGTACCTTATCGGCTAGCTTCAAGCGTACCGGTACGTACCTGATATGACGTGCGTAGTAACTTGTACGTGCTTCCTACGCCGTACGCGAGCGTACGGATATACTTTGTATATAATTCAATCAGGCGGTTACCTGTGCCGTGTGTTGAAATAGACACAAAAAACAATTATCGTTAATACGTAGTGTAAAGTTGACTCACCAATATAGTGCACGGCAAGTTTCCCCGGGATCTTGCGGAGATTCAGCCACTCCAGGTGGACACCTGGCGGTGAGATGGCGTAAACTAACGCGGCAGACGCCGTCACCACACGGATGATGGTCCAATTAATCCGTCATTTTCTTTGGGCCGTAATTTCCGCAGCGACAGTGGGTGACGACAAACTAGAATCGGCATTAGCGCCTGGGATGTGGCTATAACGCTGCTCAGGCTTTGCTGCCATTTCTGATTTGACGGCCCGCTCAGTTCTTTCTCCTCATCATGTTTCCTTACGGCTTAATGTACGTCTGCAAACATTGGGGAAGACTCAAAACACACAATTATGGTTTTTGGACAGATATGAGTGAAATGTTGCTGCACTGGAGAACAACGCGCAAAGAGCGAACTGCCGGTACAAGCCAAATGATCAATTGCAAATAACAGCAGCACCCAAAACCTGCCGGTGTCGGTGAGTAGCGGGAATGGCGAGTTCAGCAGTAATTTAGTTTCAATTAATTCTGAAATAATCCAAGTATGCAAATGCTGTATGCGTTTCCAGCAGGCATAACTGGTGTGGACAACTATGCTCACCCAAGGTCACCTTGAAAAACACAAGAAATAGTTATTCCTCAGCCGTTGGCGTCAGCTTTATGCGCAGATGTGTTGAGAATTTAATATACATTCCAGCTGACATAATATTATTCTGTATTGCGTGTAATGTTTATAAGATGCACATTATTATGTCATGACTCTTCTATACGGAAAAAAATCAACATGATAATGTGGAAAGCTAGTATTCAATCGCAATAGTAAGAATCTGGCTAATTCTTGAGCAAAAGACACTGTAACAATTTATCGACGTTTGATAGCCTCACCGATCACAGCGGTGCAGGTTTCGATGGAGGACATTTCTCGTCTTCCGCCGAACCATAGCCGCCTTTATATCGCTTTTGAGATCGAACCGTTACAGAAATTTCTATTTATCATTAGAAATCTGAACAAAGGTCACGTTTTCTGCCATGTAAGCAGGCAATAATGCTGTATGTATGGGGAATCTTCATATACAAAAGTGAACTGTAGGAAATGATCGCGGCTTCGCAGTGAGACTTTCTGGGCAGCATGCTGGCATAACAGAACAACACATGGCGCTGCAGACACTGCTCCTACAAACAATAAATTCCACTTACTTGTTAAAGTACATTATTGTCGTTATCGGAAACTTGCATTTATGTACCGGAAAACGAAGCCGTACATGTAATAATTCCATTGCTTTTTGCAGAACAACTGATTCCGGATAACTGAATAATTATCATAAGTGGGAGAATTGGCTATACATTGTTTGACTATGCATATCGCTATTTTCCGTTTTTTGTCCTTTTAACTGCGTGGCAAGAAAAAAACATTTGACTAATGTTAACTGTAATTATTTTCATAAATTTTATTGAAGCTAACATTATTTTGAATATCCAAATGGCGCTGCTTTGAATTTAATTGATCCCTGTACAAGGAATTATAATCACTGGGTAATGTCGAATCACGTATTTTTAACAGGCATTCATACATCAATGTATACAACGAAATCACGCACGGCTGCTAATATACTACTGTAGTATACTGTTTGTACTGTTTGTATTGTACTGTTTGTACATACCGCCGATGCCGGTTATGTTGTGTCGAAAATTAATGGAGTCGACAAATCTAATTGAACAGCGATTCGCTGCATACCGATTTTCAAAGAGGCAATCTGCACGTCATATTCACACGTTCTGTTGCACGTTAAGTATTTCTATACATTTGTTTTATTATACCCATTCCGCTTATAGAAAAACAAATAAAAACACATCGAAGTTCACTCAATCAGCACAAAACAGCCTCGGGAGGTCTAAGAACAGAGAACAACTGATCTAAATTCGCTCCCGGTGGAGCCGTTCCCTGAACGGAGGCCGCGTTCCCGCGCTGGATTTCTATGCTGATCCGTTGGCGTAGATACTCTAATGCTCGTGCCTCGGCAGGGGATAAAAGGTGGCAGTGGCACCTGCAACTGGCAATTGCCACTGGCAGTGGCAGCTCACTGGCAAGCGATAAAACATGGCAGATGCCACAAATATGAAATTCCTTCTAAAGCGACTCGGGAACATCAATTTTAGCAAGATCTCAACGGCAATATTTCAGAAAAGGTTATAAACTGCTTGATGTATTGCCGCCCCCACGACCAGGCCCGCGTTGGAGGGTGCGGTAGGCGACCACCCTCTCCCCTTTTAGATTTTGCCGCCGGGGGCGGCAGTTTCGAATTTTCACCGCCGGGAGGGCGGATATAAAGTATAGCGCCCCTTCCGCCCCACTAGTTTCTGGCCGCCACCCTGACGATTTTTGGGAAAACGCCGCCCCCGTACTAAAAATCCCCCAGCGCGGGCAGCTGCGGCCACGACGACGCGTTTCCTAAGATTTTTATGGTTCCTGGTTCTCGATTTTCCTATGTCATTCTTAGGTTTTCCTAGATGTTTTGAGTTTTCTTAGGTTTTCTTAGGTTTCTTAGAAATTTTACGGGTCTGTGCGTTGTTTGCCTTAGCTTTCTATGGTTTCGTGGTGTGTAATTCTACAAAAAGCACTCCAAAAGTAATTTTCCCTAATTTCCATCTCCTGTCAGAGAGGCATGCAGCTACATCTACCCATCCATAGCTTCTGTCCATCTTGGTACAGACTTACTTCGTTAAGGAACGGAGGAACCCACACAGAAGATGACTTCAGTTAATGAAAATCAAACAGAAAAAAATTCCCGAGGTGTCCATTTGTGCTTTGTTTGATATTAGATAGAACTATTATATAAACCCATGCTTTGCTGTGAATCGTAAGGAATCCTCTTTGGAACACGAATTTTTTAACGCCACCAATCGAGCGATAAAATTCTGAACAGTAAGAAACCGTTTGTACCTATTAGTCTTTTCTCAGAAACTAAGAAATCGTGAAAAAGCCTCAGTAACGCAAGTCGACCACAAAGTAGAAGGAAAAATAAAACTGTATAAGAGCATCACCATAATAGTTAGCCCTCTCATTGTCCTACAGTACCACTTCAAGCACCGGTGCCAGTGCCACTACCAGTACCATCAAATAAAATTACCATTTCTTACTTTTTTTAAATTTCTAGATTTCAGTTCTTCATATTACATTTCGTAAAAAGAAAGCACTAACGTTTCTGGCAATTGCCACGTTTTATCGTTTGCCAGACACCTAATGGCAGATGCCACTGCCAGTGGCGATTGCCAGTGGCAGGTGCCATTGCCACCTTTTATCCCCTGCCTCGTGCCTCGCCGGTTTCTTGCCGAATCCTCCTACCCACTTCCGTGAGCAGGCGCGTAGCTTCCGGTCCGTTGTGTCCTAGCGTCTCGAAGCCCAAAGCGCTGAACAAGTAGTCATGGGTGATGTTCTGGTACTTGGTTACCTTATCCAGTTCAGCTTTTGCTGCCGCTGCTCCAGCTCGCACGGATGTTGCCGCAATATGCGATAGGGCCACCGTACACACGCAGGTTACGTCCCAAGTCAGCATTCTTCTTCTTTCCCACGGAGCCAACGTGACGCCATCCGGTCGTTTGCCATTCGCTCGGCACAAGCCTGCTGGTTCAAGTTCTGTTTCGATTCCGGCTGATGCGAATGCTCGTTTACAGACAACGTTCAGGCTACTGTGCCTGGGCTTTCTGCCGCGGCTTTTCTTGCAGCTAAGGCCATGGTAGCCTCGGGCGACCACCCAGTCCCCGCAGACGCAACGGTGTGGAGTGACGATAGCTGCTCCGAGGCGAAGCCCAACAGCGATTCTCACGGTAGGGTCCGTCAGCAGATTTCCAAGCGAGGCTGCCGGTAACGTCTCCATCAAAGCTCCATTCTCTTTCGTGCTTACGCCGCGCAGCCGCGCCTGACTGGATAGGTAGGGGCCAGTTTTCTTTACGGTGTATATTAACGATTTTCCAAATGGGATTAATGCAGAATGTTTTGCGGATGATACGATACTGTACGGTATCGGCAGCACGAAAGTGGAAGCTGCACCGGAATTGGCCATCCAGGTCAAAAATGCAACGGCTTGGCTTGCAGGGAACACTCTTTGCATCAACGAAAAAAAGTGCAAATTCATGTACATCTGTACTGAATCAAAGAACAGCCAACCTTCCCCAGTGCTGACGATCAATGGCCACCAAATGGATGAAGAAAAGTGCGTGAAGTATCTTGGTGTCTACATCGATCGCAACCTAAAGTGGAGCAATCACTTTGATCACATACTGCGGAAAGTCAACTACGGTATCGCAATGATAAACCGCGCGAAAGACGGCCTGGACATGCCTCAGCGTAGAGCCTTTACCATGCCTGTGTGCAGCCACATCTTGACTACGCGTCGGATACGTGGTCTCCGGCATCTTCGGCTTTACGTGGCAAACTGGACAGGGCACAGCGGAAAGCACTGCGGGCGATTTCTGATTACAAGGAGCGGGTTACACCCGAGCTGTATCAGAAACTGCGCATCCTGCCGGTGTACGACCGTTGGAAGCAGTCTGAAGCGGTGTGGCTGTACAAGATCTACAACCACGAAGCGTACCATCCACCGTCGTATATGGTCGAGATGATTAATTTCACGGACATGGGAGCGCGTTACAACCTTCGGAATCCGACGAGAATTGCCGCAAGAGCGAAAATGAAGATCGGAGAAGGCACACTGGCCATGCGGCTGAAGGACATCTTTGAGCGCATTAAGAAAGTCAACATGCAGATACTTAGTGTTGATGGCATCGGTTTTTTCAAATTTGCTCTCCGAACTGTAGATCTGTTTTGAAGTTATTCATTGTTGAAGTCTTTTTTTTTAGCGACCAGACGTTGAAGTCCTGCTAAGCGGGTTGTCTACTCTTGGTGTAATAATAATAGTAATAATAATAGGTCATCCTGAGATTCAACCCGCAGCATTTCCACAGCCTCTGCGATTAGAGGTTCATCCTAGAGATGGCAACGGCTAAAAGCCGAAGCCGTTTGAGCCGCGGCTAAGCCGGCTTCGGCTGAGCCGGCTCGACCCAAAATTGAAGCCGTAGCCGATGATAGCCGAGCCGATTGAGCCGGCTCGGAGTCTCAGCCAGCCGCGAGCCAGCCGTAAGCCGATGTCGGCTAACGGCTTGCGCATTGTGCGCGAAAATGTGTTGGAAAGTTTACTTTTAGCTCTTTTGGCCCGTTCGAAGCCAATTTAGAGACTTGAAAAATCGATGATCTTATAAAAAAGTTCTGAATTTTTGTTTCGGAGACCTCTTTTTCCAATAAAAACTGATCAAAAACAGTTTTTGCTTAAAGGAGAACAGAAAAAAGTGCTTTTCAGTGAAAAGTACTTGTGTTTTCCCGCGCTAGAAAACTATCGGCTAAGCCGGCTCGGAGCCGGCTTAGCCGGCTCGCGTTCAGAGCCGAGCCGTTAGAGCCGGCTCAGGTAGGTGAGCCGATACTTTCGAGCCGGCTCGCTATTTTAGCCAGCCGCAGCCAGCCGATAAGCCATTAAGCCAGCCGTTGCCATCTCTAGTTCATCCCATATTTTCTGTAGATTGCGGATATTGACATCCGGCGCATCCCTTTTTGTAGTTGTCTGCCACTGCTCTACTGCCGCGCTGCAGTATACATCCGGGTGAAAGTCCGCGATCTCGGATGCCAGCGTCGCGATTGAGTAAGCCGAGGCCAAGAAGGCCGGAAGGGCTAGCTTCTCAATGCTGCGAATTCCGAGACCGCCTTCGGATATCGGCAGCGATGCTTGCGTCCACATTTGGTCAGTGATGGCAACATTTGTGATTGTGCACAGGCTTTCTCGGATAACCGCGTCGAATGCTTGTAACAGGCCGCTATGCATGTAGCATCGACCCGTACGTAATTTGTACGTCATTCTCACTGGTCCCATGCTGCATCTCAACAGGTATAACGCCTGGTGGGCTGGTAGCAGTTGTAAACGCTGCGTCATTGTTTTTGCAATCTCAGTCGCACCGACAATAGCTCCCGCCGTAGCATCATTGTGTAGCGGCGCCAGGCCCGTCGCGAGACCCCTGTGCAATCTTCAAAAAAATCTCCTCCTACAGTTTTCATCGGAAAATTTTTCTGAATACACCACTGGATTCGTCGTGAAATGCTGAACAAAACGGTTGAGGCCGATTTGTGAAATTCACATTTCCCCCTAGACCCCTACTACGGGCGGTCCCCAATTCGACAGCCTGACTTCTGGGGAATTCCCCCGTGCACTTTCAAAAATATACTTCTCCTACAGTTTTTATCGCATATTTTTTCTGAAAACATTCCTGAACTCGCCGTAAAATTCTGAACAAAACGGTTAAGGCCAAATTTCAAAATTCGTTCCTGCCCAATCACGTCCACCAGGGCGGTCGCCTATGTCACAGCCCAAGTTTTGGGGCTTTCCCCCCTGACCCCTCAGAAATAGAGAAACCGTTTGCGCTTGAAATACAAATTGTGTCACTGAAAAGGCTCGAGAAGGTGTCTTTGACTGCCCATGGGGGCCAGGGGGGAATGCCCCAAGAACTAGGCTGTCGCATTGGCGACCGCCCGCAGTAACGGTCTGGGGGGAAATGCGATTTTCAAAAATCGGCCTCAACCGTTTTGTTTAGAATTTCACGACGAATCCAATGGTGTATTCAGAAAAATTTTCCGATGAAAACTGTAGGAGGAGTTTTTTTTTTGAAGATTGCACTGGGGTCTCGCGACTTGCCTGAGCGGCGCGCCCAGATACTGTAGCTGGTGTAATTCGGGACACTGCAGATCAGGAAACACATCAAGGAATGCGGCTGTTACTTTTCTTCTGTCTTCTTCCGACCCTCCAAGAACGATCAGTTCGCATTTACCGATGTTCAACAGCAGAGCACGGTCACGCAGTGCATCCTTCAGCAAACAGAAGTCGTCAAAGACATCGTCCGGGTCACCACCGAGTACATCGTCATCAAGGAAATTGGACTTTAGGTTCTTGTGTGGCTTAACCGTAGACAGGCAGTACAGTAGCGGGCCGAGCGGGTCTCCTTGTTGGATGCCCGCTCTAGAAAGGATTTGGTGGGATCCGTGCAGTAAAGCTGATGGGGTTCCATAGCACTGCCATACAAAACGGTAATACGCCGGCATATGTTCTTCCGTAGATTGTAAGATGCAATTTCGATCGAGAGAGTTGAATGCATTTTTCACGTCTAGCTTTAGGAAGACTTGTGGGGATTCCAGTTGAAGAGCATGCTCGATGAAATACCGTGCACCGTGGACTGCTGCTTCGACACCGCCTTTTGTAGCAAATCCTAGCTGCTCGGGCCGTAGCATTTCATTCAGGTGGGTGCATCTATATGACACGATGCGGCATTCATCTCTAGTGATGACAGGCATCACGAAGACCACAATGTAAACGAGAATCCCATCCCAAGTAGTATGCTAAAAAAAGCAGCAAACAACTAAACAAGTTGATAAACTAGCACTTTACAGTGCATTCACAGCATAGCAGTCACGCTCAGTTGACTACAGATATACAACGAAGTCCAGTTAAGTGTATCGGAACCAGAATAATAAAGGGCTAAGCATATGGAATGTAAGGGTTGTGATATTGTGTCCCAGTCTGCTACCAGGTAGGTCGTCACACTGATGCCTGCCGCTGGATCTTCGTTTCGCGGGACAAAAGCCGAATAGCGTTTGTACAGCTCACACTTCTCAACCACATTAGGTGCATTCTCGACCTTCTTCTCGATGACCTTTGCGGCCACGCAGATCCCGGGCAGCAATTGGCACACCGCCTGGCAGTCTCCTGGTTTCAAATTCCTCAACAAGGAGCTGCGTACCTCATCGACTAGCTCCGCTCCGGCGGGCATCGAGGTTTTCTCGAAGGTTCTCAAGATGCGATTGCTGCGCAGAACGATGGTGTTCTTCGAGGCGGCATGGCGCGTATATCGGCAGCCCCTAACGCTTGCCAGTACATCGCAGACTTTGTTTTCTAAGTCAAGATTGGCCAGGACACCGAACTGGTCGATTAGTTCGACGCAGGCCTTCTTCATCTCAGCTTCGTCCGTTAGGTTCGCCAGCTGGAACTGCAGATTGGTACAGTTCACTCGCCAGCCGTCCAGCACCGCGGTCTTCCGGAATTCTGCCAGCGAAACAATCAGTGAGTGAACTAAGCCTGTTCCATGGTTTTAGTCGACTCACCGATACTATATCGACCCTATTACCTTACCGGTTACGTTATGAGGGTTTTTCCCGGGGCAGTTATAACGGCGCCGCATCTTCTCAATGTCGTAATAACCCAATCGTGGCTCGTACAGCCACGGACTGAGATACCAGTCGCCCGGTATTCCCGATTGCTTGAGGAGCGTATCAAGGTTCTTGCCCGTATTATCCTTTTGACCATAATCGTTGCGACTGGCATGCATGATACTGCTGGGATCGTAAGGAAAGCGCATATCGTCCTCGAAGTAGGACCGCGGTATTATTGTAGTCGTATTAAATTTTATGGCCTGTGTCCAACTATTCCTCGAAAGAGCCTGACCACTTGACAGAAACCGCCGTCAGATCCAAATCTAGGCAAATCACGGCCTGCGAAAGGGTGTCTTTATGCGTAAAGCATTTTTACTACCGGTGGTCAAGCAAAAGAGCTTTCTCATCTCCGAGAGTGCTGCGCTCCAAAAAATAAGCGGGTGATGATGTGTGCAGAGCTGTACAACAAAAACCAGTCGGCTTACCGCTTTCAGGCTCTCGCTCATTATCAGGTGGTTCTGCTACGTGCTTCTTTGTACCGGCAGACCGATTGTTTTCCAAGGATTTTTATGAAATTAAAACCCACACCCACGTACCTGCCATTTGTCTGCTTATCCCCCGTCACAGTAGTCGGCAGTGACTCGGCACAATAAATTGTAGTAATTCTGTCTCCCAGCGATCGTGTAAACACCATGCAGCAGTTCACCGAGCTACCGGTGCATTGACGCATGTCGCATGCTGCCGGTGACTGCCGACTGGGCGTCAAGTCGTATTAAAAGTGGAGATGGAAGTCAATTAAAAAGCAGCTGAAGACCTTTTGCCATATGCCGTCTCAGCAACGAAAAGATAGGTAGTAATATAGAAATCAGAGTGAACACGGCGATTCACACGTGCGCACCTTCATAACGTGACGAACTCGAAAAATACTTCTGTTGTTAGCTTTTTGTGCCTGATATTTACTTTGTTTTACTGCCGACTGACTTCGGTAGTCTGTGAGTGTGATCATTGCACTCATATCATAATATCATTCAACTTTCAATGAGATTCAAGTGCTGTCATACCGGCAACCGGTGACTCAGCGCCAGGGACTGAAATAGTGGAAAATCAATGATGGACGCCCCCCTAGGGGGGGCGCTTCGCGCCCCCCCCCAGGGGGCTGCAAATTTTTGGCCAAATTTTATTGTTCAATAAATATCATTCTGTATAAGGTAGAGCACGTATGGTTAGTTATCTGCAGTTTCGGGACATCCGAACAGCTGCAGTTAGGCGCTTAATCACATCGTGAGGTCTGATCGGCAGTAGTTATTTAGTTGCCGGCTTTACATTTTATCAATAAATAAATCATTATATAAAAATTTTTTTGCCTGACAGACCCCCCTTAATGTTTCTCATTTTTTTTGAATTTTACAAAGATGGACATTGTTTTGATCAATAATGGACAAAACTTTTTCAATGATGGACACAGTGTCCATTAATGGACGCTATTTCAGTCTTTGCTCAGCGCCACGCCGTATATACTGCGGAAAGCCTGAGTTCTACTCCAGTGTTTGCCAAGCCGTTTCACACGCCGTGGAGAGCTCACCCGAAAACATTATTGTATTTTCAAGAGTACAGTTTAATAAGCGGCCGATTTCGAATTTATTTGTCAACAAGGAGCACTACCATCCAAATCAAACTGGACACTTCCTCTCTAAGTACTGGTCCCGTCAGCGCCTATTTCCGCAACAGAATGTCGATTCAACCTGCGTGTTTTGGGAGCACTTGCCAGTGTGAACACGATGATTGGGACTTCATTGGAAAAGGAAGCTTTAGCAAAGTTCACAAAGCCAAAACCACGGAACGCGGCGATTATGTTGGACCTGAGGTTGTTGCTGTGAGATGTTTCTATATACACAAGAAGAGGTTTTTGAAGAATCCAGAAAACTATGCCAAGCTGCAGGAGAGTTTTGAAATGATGGTCAAGCTGAAACACGATCACTTGGTGGACTACCATCAAATCTCCATTATCCCCCCACATTGTAGTTGCGATGTGGAGTTAGTCATGGACTATTATCCTGGTAAGAAAGTGTACACATCAACTTTCTACGCAAGTGAGTGATGGTTGCTATGCTGAGCACATCATTCCCTTAGAGTAGTGTCTCTTTAATGAGCAATACCCATCAAAGTAAGTATCATATGTAAGTTGCAACCGCGCAAACACCATATGCAGTTAAAATATTAAACGTTGAAGAAAACAAAAATTTTCTCTTTCATCCCTTGAGTTAAATTTGTGCAGTAATTATAATCTTTCATGCGTGTCCCTTATTTAAAGCCAAACTAAATTTTTTCTGTTTGGATGATAGGCAATCTGTATTCTGTAGCTTGGCGAATCACGTTTTGAAGATATATTATGGGTGATTTAACGGAATACGAATGCCGAATTTGGTTTGCCGTTGAGGAGGTGAATTTGTTCGTTGTCCGATTTTAGCAGGCAACCTGAAAATTAAATTGGAAGGGATGAAAGACAGCGGAATCCTTCTGAATGTTGGAGATGCCCTCAGTCACGCACAGGACCTGGCTGACGGACTGGCGTTCCTGCACGAGTACGGCATAACTCACGGCGATCTGAAGCCAGAAAACGTGCTAATCGATGGCTCCAACGCCCAACGCGACATTCTGCGCATATCCGACTGGGATGGCCTCGTTACACTGCAACGCTGCAGCGTTACATCGCTTGATTACGAGCATTTCCGCAGTAGCGAGCGCTACATGTCGCCGGAAATGTTGTGTGCGATAGGACCATGGGAAAACCTCACCACGTGGCCCTCAATGCCCGGCTCGGCCACCGACGTCTGGAGCTTGGGATGTGTCTTGCTGCAGTTGATCCGCAGTATCACGGGCGACTACAGAGAAACACTGCAGCATCCGGTCAGCGGAAAAGTGCTGGGTGCGGCTGAAGCGATCAGCGACGTGGCTTTTTCGAAAGCGGTAAATGAAGGGTATATTCTTGTCGTCTGTGACAACGCGCCTGTGCCATCAGAGCTAGCCACGTGCACTCGCAACTGCCTGTGCTTCGCCAGTAGCCAGAGAATATCTGCGCGGCAGCTGTTCACTCAACTGTCCCAGACCAACGAAAATAACACACAATCAGCGTGATTGGCTTACGGTCCATGATTCACACATACAGACTGCCTTTCGCAGACCTTGGTTTTTTTATAATAACTTCACCTGGCAGCGGCTTCTGACAAGTGGACAAATCTTGTAAAGAATTCTTTACTGGGCAAGCGCCAGACGATATAACAAATAGAGTACTACGTAAGAAATCTTGTTTTCTTCGGAATTTGTATCACTTTAATAATCACAGCTGTTTTTGACTATACATTTAGTTGTCTCTGTTCCTTCATTTTTGTTTTCCCCCATTTTGCATTTTAATAACATTAGCCCACAAAAATCATACAGGATGACGACAAAACAATTAGAAAAATGGTCAGTGCTTCAGGTAAAAACGAAGAGATATGACAGTTCGGCTCTCGCAGGTCCCGAAAATAGAATTTGTCATATAACATGTTCAGCAGGAAGCCAGAAAGTGAATTTACCAATAAGACAGGAAAAACATATTGCAGACGTAACAAATGCTACTTGTCAAAGCACAATATTATACAATAACAAATACGAATAGGAGTTTGTTATTTGTTACAAGGTGAATTTAAGTTCACAGGATCATTTTTTTAGCAATCCAGCACGAAAAGTACTGCGGATCTTATTTTGCTGAAATCTTTCGACGATAGCATTGTAAGCAGCTCCTGCGCGGTCACTCGCTTGTCCGCATCAAAGACGAGACATTTACGGAGAACCTGTTGAACGTATTCCGGTATCGCCTTGGGCACAAGAGGTATAAAACCGTCCATAACCTTGTATGTGTATTTATGCGCAGGCAGTCCTTTTGCGAATTCAGTTTCGCCAGCAGCGTTACCCAGCTGTTCCGGGGGATTCCCGAAAAAGAGTGCTGATAATCGTAGATACAAACAACCAAGACTGTAAACGTCGGTTTTCTCATTCGGGTTTTCAGAGTGCAGTAGCTCCGGACTTGCCCAGAGCAGCGTGCCCTTTCGTGAGCCAATGTCAGCGGCCCCCTTGTTGTCCCCAGCATAAACGGCGCCGTCCATGTCGCCAATCACCAGGCTCTCCCCTCCGTCATGGGCCAGTTGAATGAAGACATTATCGGGCTTAATGTCGGTGTGGATGAAATGCTGCCCATGTACGTAACAAAGTCCCTCAGCGAGATCTCGGAAATAACCCTGCAGGATCTTTTCGTCAAGACTGGAGCCAGGCTTCGCCAGGTATTCCATTTTTTTAGCCAGGTTGCCTGCGAAATACCATCGTATAGCCATATTCACATGCACGCTTATCACCGGCACAAAGGTTAACGGGTAATGGTTTACGATCAAGGAAGCCGCGTTAACCTTTCTGCCGAACTGCATTAACTTTTCTGCCGGATCCGTACACCTTTCTGCGGCGGCATCCATTGATCAGACATTGGCACAACAATAACCTTTACGGCGGCGGAGTTCACGCTCATTTTGCTGCATGTTACAGTACATAGTTCCTATATTTGTTTCTTTTCGCCTTCCGGTTTTTTTTTTACAAATTTTTATTTACGAGGTGTTTTTTTACAAGGTTTTCGCATTCCGGACACGTTTGGGATATGAATGTTGGACACTTCCCGTGTTGGACAACCGGAATTCGCGTGCTGGACATCAAAGCCACGGTATTCTCTGCTTTTTCCCACACCGAAAAACCTGGTAATTTTTTATTAAAATCGTGAATTCAAATGCCGAAAACCAATGAGGCATTTTCTACGCGTTGCTCTACATGATAAAAAGTTTTAAAGAACTAACTGTGATAATTATTATTTGTAAACAAACTGGTACATGACATTGGTAAAAAACGATTAGGTTGTTGGTGTGGAACAAAGCATGGAATACAGTGGATCTAAAGCCGCTGATGTCCAACACGCGCATTCAGAATGTAAGCGTGTCCTGAATAAAATACATCAGAGACCTTTCTGTATCTTCTGCAACCTGCAGCACAATGAGCCTGAAGGCTGATCAATGAATGCCGTCGGCAGAAAGGTTTAAGCAGTCCGGCAGGATGATTTACGCATCGTAAACCTTCCTGCTGGATTTCGGCGGAAAGGTTTATGCGGCGCCTTGGATTATACTGTAGCCGCTAGATGAAGTGGGACCACAAAGATTGGTTTACGGGGAATTGGCGCTTGCAAATGTGTATATTGGCTGTGCATTTGTTACACGAGCGGTGAACGCATTTGCAGGGGCTATTTTCCCGTACACCAACTCTGTGGTCCCACTTCATCTAGCGGCTACAGTAAACCTTAAACCAGAAAACCTTTCTGCCGGCTACACGCGCTCGACCAATAACTTACGGAAAACTTTCGCAATTCCAGCGAACATCCTGATCAGATTGATGCATTATACGGCGTGTGAGACGAGGCTCACTAGCGTTCACGTCCGTGGCGCTAGGCGCTACGCCTTTGGATTACGGTCTGTGTTGTGTCTCGCTTCTGATTGGCTTGCGCTTTATTAGTGGGCGCGGCTTAGCACGTGCTGCACAGTGTTACACACTGTTGAATTGGCTCTACGATTTGTGATCGAGCTGCGCCGATCGGTTGTTGATTTTCTGTGCTCCAGACTTTCAATAATATTAAAAGTCAGCGATTACGGTGCGACGTTTTGTGTTTCCGCATAGTTCGCGAACCAGATCGTTTCGCTCACTCCACAGGATCTATCCCGTTTAGGTCTCTGTCCCTGGATCCATTCTGGATCTAGCTTTAGATGGTAGCAGAGCCGACAGCGGTTCTCTGATTGAATTGATTTGATTTGTCAGGCATATTTGGCCTGTTATTTGAAGTGTTATCCGCGACCAGCAAGGCGCAGGTCTATACCACAGCAAAGTGCACACCACAAGCGGTGCAAGTTCCTCATCTGACGTGGATTTCCAGCTTCGGTTTTCGGTACGGTATCTTCAGCGAAGAACCGTGCTGTTTCCTTAGCTGTGCAAGAGTGCAAGAGTTTAGTCGTCAGTGTTCCTCGGTGTAGAGTCTTCAGCGAAGACCTACACTGGTGTCACTGATACTCGGCAAGGCTTCAGCGAAGCCTAAGCCGTGGGCCACAAGAGGCGAAGCGCCGAAAGGGGCGCACGGGGAAAAGACAGATCAGACTCCTCCAAACTGGTTGTAGAGCACTACTGTTGCTACGGCACAGCCGGCACAGTATTAGATTAATAGCGCGAGGCACGCTACGGAACAGCGGCGACGCGGGAGCGGAGTTGGAAGAAGAATCTGGATCATTCGGATCATTTTCCCCGTGGAACGCGGAACGGACGGACGGTCAACAGGTAGAGAACCGTTATTAATTACGGGATTGGATAGATGGTAAAATTGGCAATTTCTATTGGTCCGTTCTGAGCTGAGCATAGACGTAGGCGGAGTTTTGCACACGGCGCGCATGTCTGGCCGTTGACCGTGACGTCAGGCAGATATAGATTTTTAGAGGAGCAACGTAATTGGTCAGTTATCTGAGCTGTGATTGGTTGAGATTTGAACTGAATAATTTGAGCTAGCCGACCAATAGGAAAGAGGTAAACAACCCGAATGGGGATTTTCCGTTAAATTTGAGCGGTAAAGGGAAATTTGATTCGAGACGAGATAATTGAGACAGAAAGTGACCTTTTGAGTTTAGACAAAGGAAAAGTGACCTTTGATCAAATTGAGCTAGAAAGTGACCTTTAACTTGAAATTGAGCTGGAAAGTGACCTTTTAACAAAAATCGAGTTGGAAAGTGACTTTTGAGTTGAGTTGAGGCGGAAAGTGACCTTTACTAAAAAAATTGGAATTGACCAGATTGACCTATTTGAGCGACCTTTAAGATTCAAAACTGACGAACGGTGACCTTTATCGAAGTGAAATTGAACCGAATAACGGTACAGCGATATCAGCAGCTGTAGGATTTCATTCGCTAACGTGTTTCGAACTGTAAAAGCTGTTTCGAAGTTTTGTCCGAAAGCGACCTTTTAGGGCAAATCTCTCGAACTTTTTATCGAAAAAGTGACCTTTAAACGGGACTTAGCCGAAATTTTTCAATCGAAAAGTGACCTTTAACAGGGACTTAGAAAAATTTCGGAAGTACAAAGTGACCTTTAGGGCACCTTTTAAACCATACAATAACGTGTGTGTGAGAACAATTGACAGGAGCGTCCAAGTTATCCGATCAACATGGACAAAGACCAAGAGGAACCGACATCCAACAGCAGTCAAGGAAGCAAAAGCTCCCGCAGCTCACAGCAAAGTGCACCGAATCCGTACAAAAAGGACTTGTACCCGTACTCACGTCCAGTTGGACATGAGCGGAACACTCGAGCGCCTAAGGCATTCGAGAAGAAGGATTCACGAGGCTCTGATAGCACTTATCAGAAGGCGCTCGAGGCGGTCGCCAACCAGGAAAGTTCCAGTGACGACCAGAAGCACACTCCCGCGTCTGCAGCGGGAAGTTAACCGATGAACCAGAAAAAGGTCACTGGTGAGGATGGAACCACAGGAAAGGAAGCGGAAGCAGTGGGGGCATCACAGCTGGATGCTACCACTGTCGGAACTGACGAGCAGGATAAGAACGTGAACCTGGCTCAAAGGGATGTTGGACAGACAAAGGTCACCGAAGAGGAATTGGCTGAACTAGGATTGGATGACCTTTCACTGAACGATAAGACTGCAAGCGATGACCTTTGGGCAACTCCAATGGTCTCAGATGAATCGAACGAATCATATTTCACGGATGATGAGACGACGATGAATATGTCGTTCCAAACTGCAATGCGACAAGCCGACCGGGCTGAAGAGATGACACCGTTCAAAGAGATACCGGGGCATCTTATCGAACGGACGCAAACAGGAAAGGTCATCAACGTACGTCCACCGTCACCGAACAGTCCCACGACAACTTTGAGGAGACGCGTTAGTGAATTGGAAAATGAACTCGAAGTAAACGAACGTCAGGCGGACAAGCGGAAACAGGAATATCGAGAAAGGCTGACGACACTTGAGAACCGCCTCTTCGACATGGAGCAGCAACAGGGCGACCTTCAAAGTGCCGCAGACGGCTGGAAAGTCAAATACGAAAGACAGAAGGAATTGGCAGATGAATATTTGAAAATGGCAGATGACAGAGAAATGGAAGGTCATCTTGCAGTCAATGACCTTAACGAGAGTATGTCGGAAGAATCAGCAGAAAGGTCACGGCACTTAGCCGAATTGAAGGACGAATGTGACTTATTGAAACAAAAGGTCACCGAAGCGGAAGCTAAGAGAGACGAATACGCGGCCAAACTCGTTGATGCGACTCAACGGTTGTTGACAAACACTAACGAGGTGTTTAAGCTCAGAAATGAACTGAAGCTGCGAGACGAGAGTATCGGAACCCTTCAGAAGGAATCGCAGGATCATCAGAGAAGAGCCGACGATGCCGTTAAAGTCGCCAAAGATATGAGAGACCTCACGGCGACCGAAGGCGCACGCTTAAACAATGCAATTAAGCGGGTGATGGAAGAAAACGAAATGTTGAAAGAGGATAACAAAAAGATCACTGAAGAGATTAAAGAGCTGAAAGAAGCTGCACAGACGATCGCCGAACAAGGCATGAGGTGGGAGCACGAGGCACACCTCTTGGACGTAAAGGTCACGACGCTCGAGCTTAAAGACAAAGAATGGCAACAAGCGGTTCATCAGAAGACACAGGAGATCATCAGACTCAACACGGAGTTGATCGATATGACGCAAACGGCAATGACGAGAGAAGACGAGGTCACCCAGATGAAGAGTCAGCTGAAAGCAGCAGCAGAAGAATATACGAAATTGGAAAGAGAAGTGACTCAATTGGCCGAACACATCAATAAGATGGAACAGGAAAATGAAAAGGTCACGAAAGAAAAAACCTTCCAATTACATGACCATACGCAGAAGGTCAAACAGGAAAACACTGAATTGAGGAGAGAAAGGGATGAGCTTACCCTAAGGAACAGACGCCTAGAGGACGAGAACAAGGCACTCCAAACGTCAAACAAACACAAAGATGAACAGCTGTTGCGATACGAAGCCAAAACAGCAACAGTGGAATCGCCCCCGCCCAGTTACAGCAAGGCGCACGAAACGGGCACGGGCAAAAGCTTCCATTTCGAAACGCCCTTACGAACTGGCACCGGCAAAGGAAATGTCAAAGTAGAACAAGACGGTGAAAAGGTCAAAGACGATAAGGATAAGGAACCACCATCAGGTTATTCACACTCGAGCCGAGGTGAACCTTCACAATTTCCCCCACATATCGAAGTCAACGCGTTCATCGACGAAGGGCGACGGGACAGACCCCCTAGTCGACAGGAGCGTCCGAGGAAATCCCGCTACGCAAAGCAGAGGCGAAACCAAAACGATGATGAGAGCAGCGAAGAAGAAGACAACTTGAGAGGGGGATTCGCATTAGCGAAAGCGCTTGATTCCATGGCCCGGAAAACGCCTTTGATGACCTTTGATGGCAGCCGTGACACCATCAATGGTTGGACAAGATTGGTGAAAGAAACCCAGGATACCTACCAGCTTACTGATAAGCAAATAATGATTGAAATAGCCAGCGCGGTAAAAGGGCCGGCCAAAGGTTGGTTCGAAGGAGAAAAGGACATAGCATCAGAAGACGGAATTGAGTACACAGTCAAAGAATGGATGGAGAAATTCAAAGACGAGTATGGTGACCGAGACGAAGAAGTCTTAGGCTTACGAGAGGCCTATGCAAGGAAGTTCGAACTCGGAAAGGAATCACTTGACCAGTACTACCAAGCGATGATGCGATTCAAAGGAAAGAGAATCATCACTGAGAAGCAGGCAGTTGGCTTCTTAATCGAGGGATGCAAAGGAGACAATGAACTCTATAAGGCATTGCGCATACAAAAGTGTAAGACGCCGACCGATGTAAAGGACTTTTTCCGACACTGGGCAACAGGAGATGAAAAGTACAAGGCGCCAAAAGGTCAACGTAATCAGGAATACGTGACTGTCCGCCAAGGCCAGGTGGAGAACGTACCGCAACAGAGAATGGCAGCTGCACCAATCCAGCAGCAAATGGAATTCCGTGCAGAAACCCCTGTAAGAGAGGTCACGGAAAGAGTGACCTTTATCGATTGCCAGACGGGGCAGCCAATAACATACGCGATGGTGGCGGCGATACAAGCGGCGGCCCAAGTGAGGCCAGCACCCCAGAATGTGGCACCACCGAACGTAGCGACACCACAACAGGGAATGCCAAATGGAAACTTTGGCGGAAATGGATATGGAAACGGAAATTGGAATGGAGGTCAAAGGAACTTCCAGAATCAGGGACAAGGTCAAGGTCAAGGCAACTTTCAGCCAAATAGAGGAAACCAGAATAACTTCCAGCAGAACCAGGGGTCACGGACGGAATTTAAGTTTCAGATGATCGATGGATGGGTTGCAAATGGTGTGCAGATGTGCCAGTATTGTATGTACGGCAACCACCAAACCCAGGGATGCAAATTCGCCAACACACCACCGGAACAGAACCCGAACCTGTTCGCCTTTAACGAGTGGCAACGATTGCGCGGGCTCGGTGGTTGGCGCCAAGCGGTCGCGAACGGATACGACCTAATCACACAATGGTACCAAGTGAAAGCGACATTACCGTGGCGGCTTCAGAGGAAGGAACAGAGGCTATGGCCGCGGAAATTGGAATGGCGGCAACCGAGGCGGCGGAAACGGAGGTGGCCAAGGAAACTACCAACAGGGTGGTGGCAAAAACAATGGTGGCGGCCAGAATAACGGAGGCGGACAAAATTACGTCCCGGTAAACAACGGCGGAGAAGGAAATGTGCAAGGAAATGTACAAGGCGCGCAACAAGGTGGAGCGCCGGTTCAGGGAAACGGGCAAGATCAGTAGGCGCCGGTGAGCCTACTGATCGACCCGACCCTAAACCACCGGATAAACGGGGGACGGAAAGGTCACCACTGCAGAACGGTACTGCAGTGAATGTGACCACTGCAACGGCTATAAGGATGCCGTCAGCGCAAAAAGAAAGTGGACCGGCTATATGGATGCCGCAACCACAGCAAACGGCTATATGGATGCCGCCACAGCAAATTGAGACGGCTAAATGGATGTCGTCATTGCAAAAGGAAATTGAAACGGCTATAAGGATGCCGTCACAGCGTCAAAACGAACTGGTTATCGGGAAACCAGTACAAGCGGATAAAAGGTCATCACAGATTGATACTGTGAATGAAAACGCGCAACGGGACCAAAGGTCACCGCAGAATGGTACTGCGAGTGGAAATTGTCGTGACG